TTGACTTACTCATAAAACACATAACAACAAACTTCCCGTATACAGGACGAACCGTTTTCCATTGTCTCGGTGTTCATACTATGCGGTTTTCCATTGTCTGATTCTATTTCATTTTTACAGTTTCTTTTCTGAGTTTTCCGTAAAACAATGCTTCAAATAATTAACACTTTTTTACTTATTTCAGCAATCTCTGGCTAAATAAAGGAACATGCTTTATATTTACGAGTATATTTATAATATGCTGGCTTGAGTCTTTACTATTTTAGAGAATCGTAACAAATTCTAAGTAACACACATAGGAATTCACCTGACCTGTCTGACATTGCGGATTTTCTCGGAGGGTAAACGTAGATTATGGAAATGAAATGAAACAATCAAAAAAATATTTTTGAATAAGTGTGACAAATGAGCATACAGTACATGTAATGGTTAGTAGATACTAGGCCCATAGACAGGAACAGAAACTTTTTTTATTCAATATAGATTATAAATAAAACTTATTGAAAGTCACTCTTTGGTTAAATTACCACTGGTTAGAAAAATAAACGCCTACATCTATCCTCGATTAAAAATCAAAATGAGGACTAAGATGGAATGCCTCGTTTCTACTAAAAAGGGTCTTTACTTCTCTAAACTCACCATACGAAACAGCAGTAATAAGTTGTAATTTCATGCTGGTATTGTGTGAAAGCGTGATCCTTTCCCGGTCGAGACGATCCATTCGTCTATATTATAGCTTCAGTATGGATCTACCGTTTATAAGATATCGCTATGAAAATTGTAAATAATGTATGTAGATCTTATAATTTCTTGTGTATCAGAAAATTGTCAAATGTAAATCCGTGGTCTCTGCTTACTGTGTGTGTGAATTTTTATATATGTATGAATGTATCTAGCGGAGTGTATTTATGTAATATAATAAACCGACATAATGTGTAAAGCAATGGAGCGGCATAATTTACTAGCATCTGCCTTTCAATTCGATCGTAATGTGGGTCTTCCATACAATAGAAAAAAGGCTTTTGTTATTAAAATGATGATTGTGAAGTTTCTGTAGTAAAGCTGATGTGAAGTTTTTGCTTGCTAGCTGACGGTTCAACGTAGGTACTTAATATTTTTTACGAAATTAACCTATTAATTTAGAAATCTATTATATATTATGCAGACCTAGTCCAGTTTAAACTATGGTTGAAGAAGAAACCGTATAATTAAAGAAGTACCTTTTAGCAGAGCCACAGATTACGTGAAATTTTACATCTGTTGTCAAATTTCATATTTTATTTTAGTTCGCATATTTTCACGACATTCATTTCGTGTAACAGATTGTATTTTAAGTCTTAGACTAATTTTAAACTACTTTTTGTAATAGGGGGGTCTATCGGCCAAAAACTCAAACGCCACTCAATTTTAAGAAGTCTCGTTCTGTCTCTATCACTTTAAGTCAAAATGACTGTGACAACTAAAACTTGAAGATATCTTAAAATTGAGAAGCTTTTGAGTATTTGGCCATAAATTTCCTTATAAGCTATAGTTTTACTGATTTTTATAGCATTTAAGTTGGTAATAATAATAAGACTTTTAAATTTTTAATAAAATTTAATTTATCATACGCATATAACGGCTGGGTCATGTTTTCCTCACATAATAAAATTTCTTACCTCAAATTTTGCCATATTCAGACTCAAACTGAATTAAACATATAAGACAGAGTTTATACTACTCGTATTATTGCATCCCACGGAACGAGTCATTTACACGAGATTTTCGATAATGAGGCTGTAATTACCGTGGGATAATGTGGCGTGGTTGCTCTGTATTCACTGATCCTCCAATCCAGTTTAGTGGGTTTTAGCTAGTATTTTCTTGTCAATGATATCGTAGATAAAAAGGAAACGAAATTTTTCAATTATTAGGGCTTCTAGTTCCTCTACTAAATTGTTTTTAAATTATGTGAGTTTACGACTCACAGTAAAACTTATGAACGCTTTCATCTCAAGTTCGACACAAAAATTTTACTATAATCGGGTTTCTAAAAATTAACGACAAATGTAAATATTCCGATATTTCACAAGGCATGAAAAACTGAGATGGATCAACAGCTGATAAACCCATTTTAGATAGTCTGACGCAAAAGGTTTCATAACTACCGGCTTCAAGTGCCGTTACAGTCTTGACGTTTTTATAGCGTTATGTCTTTAGAGACCATTTTTTAAGTTGGTTCCCACGAAAAAATAAAATGTCGAGTATAGAACGAATTCTAAAATTAAAAACTCTGGAAACAGGTATAAAAATTATTTTAATAATATTGCACAGAGAGCGGTATACTAACAATATCATATTAACATTTTATTATATACAGAACAGTGTGCATTTGCGCGCACCAAATAACGAAAACCGTATTTATGTTAAGTTTATGCATTGCGTTTATATGCATCAAGGAACCCTTCATCATAATCATCGTCACAGCTCTTTACAAGTCCACTTCTGAACATGGACCTCCTCCAAAGAATGCCAAAAAGCACGGTTCTGAGTCACCTGCATCCATAGATTTCCTACATTTTTACCGGTCGTCACTCCATCTTGTGGGGGACCACTCTACAATTCACCTGCGACATACGTACGACTGCTGCTGCCACTCGAGAACCTTTCTTCCGCATCGGTTGTCGGTTTTTTGAGCTATATGGTCAGCCCATTGCCACTTTAGCTTAATAAGCCGTTGGGCGATATCAGTCACTCTGATTCTACTACATATATCCCCATTTCTAAGTTTACCACGCAGAGAAGATTCCATAGCTTGCCAAGCAACCTTGAGCTAAACTTATGAAGCCGTATGAGGATCAAGGAACTCTTAACTTCAATATAATGATTGCATGCAACACACAGTTTTCTACATTCCTTATTGAGTTGAGTCCATGCGTTACGTTTATATGCATCAAGGGCTTCCTTGATGCACCTTCAATAAAACGATTGCAACATACAATATATGTATTCCCCATTACTTTATTCAATTATCTTTTTGTAGATAAAATTTGTAGACTACTTTCTATTTTAGCCACACCTAAGCGAAAAAATACAACGATAACAAATTGGGGATCCAAATATCCTCAGATAATCGAAAATTGTCGCTTCGAACATAAAAATCGGGTAAAATTGTCGCATCGCATCCCGATTTCAGGGTTCAATCTTTCCTTTCAGGTTTTATTTTAGAATGAAAAAGAGTTTCAATAAAACCACATAAATATTTAGAAGTAATTCTTACCGAATCAGATGTAAAACATCTAAGACTTTTTTTATAGATTTTTTTTAGTTTCTTGTCCGTTTATGCATTTCAAATATCACGATGGATTTTTTGCTACTCCTATTTATGCTATTAATATTCTGATTGTGGCACAGAACTGAGATGCGAATAGATTACAGGACATACAGGGTATACGTGTAGGAGGTAACAAGAAAACTGAAATTATTTATCGATATAATGTGGAGTACTCATTAGTCATCCTGACTCAATAAAAATGTGAATGAAAAATTAATCTGACTCTTATGAAACTTCGCAAAGAAGATGATACAAATTCGCACACTAGATGATAAAATTGACAAACACTCAATTTTCCTCGCTGCAAGAGGTACGTCTTTGTCTTATCGCTTACTTTTTCTCGTAATAATGATTCCATATTTCAATTACAGGATACAAAGTGATAAAAAAGAGGATGCAAGCTACGTTGCTTTCGTCTTTTATTTTAGGATCAGTGGAAATCTATTTTCAAACGGTAAATAGGTTTAAAAAGATGTTTCCCAAACGTAACTTTAACTCCTTACGCTTAAACTACATACTCTGGTATAGAATTCGTTACTACAAATAACTTAACAATGGATACCTATATTCCCATTCTAAACCATTTGTCCGATATCTTCCTACTGCCTTACGCTGTTAATGGCAACGGATGCTTCGTCATATCCTGATAAACGCAATAAGTCATCTATTCTTACGAAGTTTTTACCTTAAGGGAAAGTAATGACAATATATATTTAGTCTATTAAATATGACATCCTTTTGTAGTTTTAATGAGATCTGTGTAAAAAAATCTGTGTGATCCCATATAAACAAAAGCTGTGTGAACCTATATATTAATAAAAGTTGTGTGTAATATATTACAAGCAAAATGAAATATGACAGATGAACAGAATTATTTATGTAAAAAGATATGCAAACATATATTGCATGAACTCTAAAGCTGGATATCCACTATGTTCGCGAACCTCTTGCGCTCCGCGCTCTTGCAACAGCTCCGCATATTGGATACGTTTGCGAACTTGGAGCGCGTACGGTGCGCGTTCCGCGCTCAGCGCTCCAACGGGTAGCGGTAAATTGGACGAACACAAAGGGAAGCTCAGTCTGTTCGTGGACGCGAGCAAGATATCACGTCAAGTGCGTACGTGTCATACATCACGGTCCGCGCTCGGTTATCATGGAGTGGTCGGAAGAAAAATGTTGATCTCTAATCGGGTTGTACCGAAACTATACTGTGCTGTGGGATCCCCTGGATGAGAATTTCAAAAAATAAAAATTTAAAAGAAGACGCCTGGGTGGAAATCGGAAGAGGTATGGGATATCGGAGCAAATATGCAAAAACAAAATAAAAATTCTGCTATCGGAATTTCTTAGAGAGAGATCCAAACAAAAAAAGCAGTGGGACTGGGAAAGGTAGGTAACTGGAGTAATAATAAGTGGTATAAAATAAAACACTATGGATAGTTGTTTACTTTATTTTTCACATTTCAGGTACATCAGAAATATATAAAAGTAATTGGTTCGCGTTTGAAGCATTGTAATTTTTAATTGATCGCGATAAACCGCGACAGTCATTGAATACAGTAAGTTATTATTTATATTCTTTTTATTTAATGATAATATTGAAAACGTGCGTTTCAGACAGTTAATAGTGATTTTGGAATGAAATAGCTCCTTCCTTTAAAAAATCCCCTAATTCTTTTCTCATTTCTTATGCATTGTCAGGAGACCGACGTGCAAAGTTTCTTAGTGGTTGTAATGTTACATAATACTCTCTTAAACTTTCGCTTTCTCTTATTCCAGAACAGTAAGTATCTGAATGAGCTCGTAAATAGTTGTGCAAGAGAGCGGTCGTTAGTACTATAACTGCTGCTTTATTTGGTTCTATCATAAGTGGTTTTCTTAGAAATCTGAAGACTTGTGCCATTATACCTAAAACGCTTTCCACAACACGACGTGCTCTGCTTAGACGATAGTTGAACACTCTTTCAAGAGTACCTTTCGCATGTGTTTGTCCCGGAAACGGTTTCATCATGTTTTCGAACAATGCAAATGCAGAGTCACCTAGTAAATAATATGGTATAACTTTATTACGTCCTTCCAAAGGTGTTGGAGTGGGCAAATTCAATTTACCTTTTACTATCAAAGAGTATAGTTTAGTATTCTTGTATACTTCACCATCCGATATTCGGCCCTGACAACCGACATCGACAAATCTGATCTTGTAATTAGCATCGGCCAAAATAAATAACAGAATACTGAAATGGCCCTTATAGTTGTAAAATTCGGTACCACTGTTAACAGGCGCCTGTAAAACTTCATGTTTTCCATCCACTGCGCCGATACAATGAGGAAAGTTCCATAACTCGTCGAATGCATCAGACATCATTAACCACTCTTGAGGGTTGATAGGCAACTAAAAAAACAAATATGTAACGCTTAATATGTCGCTGACTATAAAATAGAGTGCTTACATACATTTTTAGCCTGTTTTGTTTTGTTTTTAGGAAAATAATAATGATGCCATTCTCAACCAACCGTCTACTGAACAAATTACAGATGGGCTTCCATCTCCGACAAATGCGTCCCCGACGCCTCCAAAAACACACAAATACGATCCAAAACTTGCCATGTTAAAGGATACATTTGGTATTTTAAAATCAGCATCGACCAAATCGAATCAAGACGACGAGATTTGCACGTTTGGTAAATTTTTAGAGAATAAATTGAGAAGTTACGATCATCGCACGAAGAATTTGGTACAACAGCGTTTATGTGATGTCGTATTTAAGGCTGATGCAGAATATTTTAGTAACAATGAACACTATGGTTACTACACAAGTCAGTCCCAAAATTATTATACAACACGGCCAGAAACAGCTACACTGGATCCGATTTATTCATCAACACACTCTCGGCCAGCAGGTAGTACCTCTGAAGCTGGTATTAGTCAAAGCAGACCAAGCGGATCGCAGTACAGCGCGGATTTTTTTAATGTCGATGATTTCGTTTAATTATAATTCTTATATTATTTTTTTAATTTGTATGGAACCTTTTATTAATAAAACATTTCTTACCTTCACATTGTCTTTCAGTCCATTGATAATAGCTTGACAGACTTCTGGGATAAATTTGCTGATTGCCTGTTTTGAGATTTTAAATAAGTATTGCAGGCTTGTCAAACTATCACCCGTAGCTAAAACTCGTAGCGTTAATGCTAATTTATCTTGAGCCGATATACCTTTTGGAAATTTTGTGTCTTTTTTTGTATAGCTGGTACAACCAAATTATAAAAATATTCAAAATTAAATGAAGACATTCGCATGAAGTTTCTATAATGGCCACTTAATTCTTGAAATTTGAGTTCCAACACCAATGAATTTGGACGTCTTTTCTTGAAAATAGGAGGCTTCTATAGTCTACGAGTAGATAATGAAATAAAATATATGCTGCACTAGCCACTAATGGTAACGACATGTTCGCTCAATGTTCACAAGAGGACTGTGGAGCATGCATGTTCCTATGGAGATACGCGTACCCGTCTCCATCAGATCGGTTACGGGAGCGCGGAGCGCAAGAGGTTCGCGAACGTAATGGATACCCACCTTAATGACAAGCATACTGTTGGTACTATTCAAATTTCAGATGCCGTACTCCAGCAAGAAACCAGGACCAAGTGGCATGGCTGATCGCCGTAGGACACGTCAAAAGCAGCATGGCCGAGTGTTATCGTCTTCCGGTCCTGGGTTCACGAGTTCACCGTATAATTAAGTGCATTTTAATTTCTCAAAGAATTACCAAATCGATATTGGATTAATAACATATTTTTTATAATAAAAAATGATGATTAAGTAATAACTGACGCCTTCCTCTTGTCAGCTTCCGGCTAATCTAAGGCCTAAATTCCTCCTACGCTGACGCCGGTTTATTAGTACGCGCGACCGGCGTACGCGACTGACGTCAGCGTAGGAGCAATGCAGCCTCGAGCTCAGCGTAAGCCTCCACCACTACGGCCCTCCAGGCCGCGACCTGCTCGAGCCGCTTCTCCAAACTAAAGACCATATCCGGTCGACCTATCAAAGCATGGGTGCTAGTGGCCCAGCGCAGCTCCGCCTTCAGGCGACGAATAGGTAGCTTGTGCGATGGCATCACTACTAAATACAATTAATACGCGGCTCAAATACAAATAAAATTAACAAATGACAAATACAATTACGATCAAATAAAGTTAAATACAATTACACAAATACAAATTACTATTTATTAAATTAAATACAAATTACACTACACGGCAAGTACACACTACAGTCGGTCAGAAAAGATGCTTCGCTGAAGCGACCGACCCTTCGACAGTTAATCTATTATAATTATACGACAACGATAATTATCCGATTACGTGATAACATTATCTACCTACTCAAAATACCTGACGCGTACTTAGCCCTAAGCTTCAATCCCGCTTGCGCAACCTAACGGGCGTGGTTCCTAAATCTACCTGCTAACAAACAAAAAAATATATGTAATTTTTATTACTTAATATTTATATCTATATTACGGCCGGGCGATTGGAGAACCAATCAACCACGCTCTGCTACCAACAATGTATATGCCCCTATCTGCCCTAACAAAGGTCGACCCTACAGGGGCCAATACAGCTGTAGATTCGAAGAACAACTAAGGGTGGGGCCCAACGGCCTATGGAGACTTATTATTCTACACAATTGATATAAGGCTAGGTAAATAAATAGTACGTACCTGGTTCGGAAGCAAAGACTGGCCACAAGGCTTGGTCAGGCGGAAGGTGTAGTGTATGTAAGTGGTGTTTAGTGGTGTGTAAAATTTGAAACCTGACTTAATCCTTTCAAACGGCAGCAGCCCTGATTCCGGCATCGCCACGCGGTGTGGTATCCTCCAGCGGCGTCACCTCGATGTCACTCAAAGTCTAGCGTCCATTAGCACAAATCTATAATCTAATACGAACGCTGTTTCTCGCGGGTCACAAAGTTTAGCGTTTTTAACCGACACAGGAAAATATCTCCGAATTACATCAAATGCCACAAAGCAACTCGTCGACGAAAATTAATATTGTCAAGCACATAAACCGGCAATTACTATAAAATTTACGTAATTACTTGCAAACGAAATTAAATTAATCAGTCAAATTCAATGGCGAATTAAACGCGCAAAAATACTCAAAATCGAGACCACAAAACCAAAACCGGTCGCGCGAAACCGCTGCAGAGGTCACCACAAAATACGTTAATCGACCGCGACGCTGCTGTCAAGCTGCTGTTGCTAACCCACCAGGCCGAACGCCGGGAAGCAGCATACTGCCCTCCCCCCCCCCCCCCCCCGGCGGCGTGAACGTCACCTCACACCATCGGGCGATGCGCTAAGTCAAAGGCGATTGGATGCCGTTTCAAATGACTATGTTTGGGCCTAAACAACTATTATAATATAAAATATTTGTCTCCAGTAAGTATTACACTTTTATTGTAAAATTCGAAATGAAAAATTAATACAATTTTTTTTATATACCCATTTTTAAGCTTTATTTTCAGGCTTTATTTTTAACTTTACTAATTTTCTTTTAACAAATTTTAAATTCTTTGAGTGTTTTGAGAATATTTTTAGTTGAATGTAGCTATAGTAGTTTTTCTGTAGTAATCGTTTTTGTTAAGACTGTCTCGTGCATTTGTAAAAAATTTTGACATTCAATTCGCGGACAGGTCAGGCGAGAATCACTCGCGCGGGGCGGGCGGTGGTCGCGAAGCGACAATTAAATACAAAAGAATCTAACCTAAGAGCAACAAAACAACAAAAATAGAACAAAAACAAATACATAATATATTTAAAATTTAAAAGATATTTACAATTTTATATAACAAAATGGAGTATGAAGATGAGGATGGATGTCGTGATTTACAATTATTTAAAAAAAAAGATAATAAAAAAAAGGATTAGTGTTGAAGTTGAGCCCGAAGATCCAAGGTGTACAGTAAGTGCTCTCAGCGCCTGGAACGAGCACGCACAGCGTAGGTGACGGTGTGGGCGCCTCTAGGCGACGACCTCGGGTGAATGCGGAGGTTTGCAAGATCCGGCGACTTCAGGCAAGACAGGGGCTTGCAGGATCTTCAGCGACTTCAGGCAGGACAGAGGCCTGCAGGATCCGGCGACTTCAGGCGGGACAGAGGCTTGCAGGATCCGGTGACTTCAGGCAGGACAGAGGCTTGCAGGATCCGGCGACTTCAGGCAGAGCAGAGGCGTGCAGGATTCGGCGACTTCAGGCAGAACAGAGGCTTGTAGGATCCAGCGGCTTCAGGCGGGACAGAGGCTTGCAGGAACCCGGGGCAGTGCGGCCCCGGGATAAGGCCTTTAGGAGATGCTTCGAATTTGAGAACTGAAGCGAGACTGACTTTCTTGACGGATTGTTCGGCTTTTATACCTTTTTAGAGAGAACGGAAAAATTATTTAAATTAAACGCAAATTTTTTTGTAAATGGCCAAGAGGAAGGAGTATTTATGTGGAATTATCGAAGTAGAAACAACAGACCGGTAGCGAATTTGAATATAATTGTCATGACAACCAGATAAACAACGATGTCAAAACCTGTCAAATTTTGGTTTTAGGCACGTAATAGAAAAACGGCAAGATTTAAGTGAAAAATGAGATATTATTGATATAGGAAAAAAGGTAGCACACTTGCGCGCACAAAGCCCGAAATTGCAGAGTTACGGAAAACCAAATAAAAGATCGAAAAAGGTTGACTCCATTGACACCAATTTAAAAGTGCTGATAGTGTGAAAATACGAAGTAAAAATTATTTGTTATTGTGTTCTTATGGTTTAAAATCGTTACAGGATCCTATGGAAATAAAGGTGATGTAAAATATCCAGTTTTGAGGTGAATACAGAAAATCGAAACAGAATAGAAAAATGAATTTAAAATAATGTAAAATGATATGTAAGTAGCATAACACTACACGGTTGAGTGGTTATGACATCATTATACCAAATATTTACAAAAAATTCATAGACTTTTGTTAATGTCTCGTAAAGAATAAAAATTCCATTAATAAATTCAATACGGAAGATGTAAAGGGTAAGTGAAAACTTTTTGTAAGGCAGCTTAATTGTTTAATTGCTTCAGCTAAATTGTAATTATGTTGTGACGGTTTATTATTATTATTATTATTAATATATAATAGACATTTAATGTAAATTATTATATATATATATATATATATATATATATATATATATATATATATATAATTTACACAATTAATACGCGTTAATAAACATAAAGTTAAAATGTAATATTCATTTCGGATATTAAGTGTTATATTATATTAAAGGCTTAATATTGTATTTTAAACCTTTTAAATTATTAAAACTGTGCTTGAAATATTCGAAATGGAATAAATAATAGAAGTACAAGAAAATAAAAAAATGGATCAAAAATTTTAAAAAAGTTCAAAAATTAATGAGAGAGTTCTTGTATTACTACTGCTTATATGAAGGAGTTGTCGGAGATACTTACCCATGGTACCCGACAGCTACTAGTACTGTTGCACAACATCTAGTCCTATATTAGGGACTTATGATAGTAAGGTCTATGATATAAAAGCATTAATATAGAAGATCTCTATGATGCACAAGCATTATGATAGCAGTGTTATGACTAGAAGTCCCATATAACAGTAAGATCTATGAAATAAAGCAAATATGTGGAAGGTCTCAAAAATGTAAAAGAATTATTTTGCAAGAAATGGACTTGGAAAGGATTATTATAGACGCTTGTAGGTTGCTTCACAGCGTCCGAGACCGAGGTAAACTTGGACTCGCTAACCGATGTGTTCTAGACATATCATCTTAGTGCTGGCGGTAAGTGGGTTTGTTGTAGTAATACGACATACCCGTGGACATCGCACATCCCTGCTGTTTGTGGAAGGCATCGTAACGCATAGCGATATGATACGTCGGCTATATTTCGGATTAGGGTGGGTGTGTTTGGTAGAACTTTTAAGTACAGCAAGCATACTCAACTCCATGTCTTAGTGCAATAGCGTTATGATACGTGGAGTTTTGACTACTGGCGTACTTGACGATTTTAGTTAACAGCAATACTGTATCATAGTTGCATTGATCCTTACTGCTACTTGCGGTATTGC